TAGTGGTGTCAGGAGCTGATGCTGTGGCATAGCAGGTAAAGCCACCACCGACACACCATGTGTCATGTCAAGCCTTGACTGCTTCACTTCCAATGCAGTCCCCTGTTAGTGTGCCTAGGAAAGCAGCAGAAGATATCCCAAGTCTTTGGGTTCCTTCACCCATGTGAGAGACCTAGAAGCAGCTCTGGGCCCCTCCCTTTAGCCTGGCAAGGCTCCAACTGTGGCCCTTTGTGGCAGAAGATCTCTGTCTCTCTTTCCCTCTCTCTGTAACTGTCACTTTCAAATATATAGATAAAATAATACTGATATAGCAACTCCAGATCAGCTATGTCAACTCTTTTCTGTTAATCTCCTGGTGTCCACCATGATAAGATAGGAGAAAGTATTAGGAAGAAGACAGGATTTAAAAAAAACACTCCATCACATGGAATACTGAGTTCTTACTTCACAGGGATGCTGGTCACTTTCCCTGGTTCCCAACAGACATCACAAAAAAAGGGCAAAGCTAACAAGAACCTACCACCAGCCTGGTGCAAACCTCACCTGTCATTTTGCTTTCACCAGTATTAGATGGTTGGCGTGTTGGAGCCACCGATAGAAGGAAACATGACATGACCCCTCTTTCCATCTGACTAAGGACTGGTTTTTCTGAGAGTTGTCACCTCCACAGAGTCTCCTGTGAAAAGAAAGATGGAGGAAAGCAAGAGTGCTGGGTGCTGAATTACCTGGACTGAAAGTTGATTGTCAGTGAGTGGAGAAGCTGGAAAGCCAAGGAAACATAAACGCAATTCTCTAAAGGGAGAGTGTGGTGCTCACAGAAAGACATTGAAGCTCTCTGCAGAAAGAATGAGTAAATTTCAAGATGATGGAATTTCCCCCAGTGGGTGATAAGCTACATAGAATGCACAGGAAAAAAAAATGAAATCAAAATACACTTCATGCTCAGGTTCAAGAGCTTATGATTTGCATGGAGATCAAGTAATGAGGTGATTTTTTAGGCAGATGAAAGATGGAGACGTTTTTGTGCCCTGCCATCACCCTACCCACACAAATTTCCTCCGTGGCTGTTTTCCAAGGGCTCCCTCTGCCGGCCAGAAAATGATCCTCCCTGTTAGAGAAAAACTATTCTTCAGTCAGGGAAATTTAAAAAAAAAATCAGGTAAAGGCTATAGAGGATATCAGGCAGTAGCAAGTGCTGTAGGAGAAACTAGAGCAAGGTTAGGGAATAGAGCATGAGGGTGGGGTTGGGGAGCGTGGAACCTAACTTTCACCTGAAAGGTGAGAGTAGTTTCTTGTCTGGAAAGTGATATTGAGCAAACAGCCAAAGGAAGTAAAGGAATGACATATGCAGATATCTGGAGTGGGAGTGTTCCAGGCAGCAAACGCAGGTAAAAGAGAGACCCGAGATATTTAAGGACTGTGGGGACGGGGCAAGAAGGCAGTGGTCACTGGAGCTGCATGAGAAGGGCCAAAGGGAGGAATAATGGCAAAGAGTCAGCTCATGTATGCCCTCATAGATCATAATAGAGCTGGCATCTCTTTCCCTAAGTGAAACTGGCACATCCCACCCCACCAAAAGAGTTTGGGAAGAGCAGGGATGTTGTGTGAGTTAAGTCTGCTAAGAGCCAGTAGGTGGGGGACAGTGGGAGCAGGGAAGCCAGTAGCCTGTTAATGCAGAAATACAGGCAGGAGCTCTAACCAGAACAGGCACAGAGGAGGTGGTGAGAGGTGGATCTGGAGCTGTTTTGGAAATAGTGACAGTAGAATTTGGATTTGGAGTAGAAAACAAAGCGAGAGTCAAAAATGGCTTCAAGTGTTTCTGCCTGGGCAACTGCAAGGATGAGGCTTCCTCAGTTGAAAGGGCATGGCTGGCAGCAAGCCAACCCTGGGAGGAGATAGGAGAGGTCACCACCAAGTGTTCCTTGCACATCCAAGAGGAGATGTTGAGTGGCAGACGAGAGTGAGAAGTTCAGGAGTAGGAGGAGAGTTCAGATTAAAAACAGATTTGAAAGACACTGGAACATGGTCCATGCTTAAAGTAAACATGACCCAGAAAGGGAATGTCAAAGGAAAACAGAAGAATTGAGCCCTGAGGCACCCTGGCTCCTTGATCCTGAGAAAGAAGGATCAGAGAATAAGAAGGAGCATCTCATAAGGCAGGTGTCCTGAAAGCACCCAGAGAGGTGGCGGGAAGCCACTGGGGATGCTGTGCCAGGGTCCAAGTGAATGAGAATGTGGAGATCAGGAGAGAAGGAGGCGGTGGAGAGGAGAGGATTCCTAAAACTAGAGTCTGCAATCCTGTGAAGGACTGGCTTCCTGAAGCTCTGGGTGGTAAAGCTGATATCTTCCCTACTGTGAGAAAGGAATCTGGAACTGGATTCAGAGAAGGAGGAATTCCAAAGGGTCCTTGTCAGCTGCAGTCCATTGTGCTGCTCCCCAGTGGGACATACCATTCGGGTCAAGATGCCCTGCAGGTGCAAGGGATTGGGGGCAAGTGAGAATCAGAGCTCATGAATAACTTTCAAAATAAACTCACTGAGGCCGTAGTTAGGGAATATTTTGAACTGTAGGGTTTCCCCACCTGGTAGTCAGAAACCAGTTCATTACATTTTCTGCTGTTTTATTCAGACATTTTAAGGCTTGACTGGAGTCACAAGAGTGAGCATATTTATCAATATTAATATTCAAATCAGTGTCTTGTAGTGTAACATTTCCTATCACCATTTCGGAAAATGAATTTCAACAGCATAATTAATTCTACATGCAAAAACGGAACAACTGTTTGGATACTTCAGGAGAAAAAACAAATTGCCACATCGTTGTTAATACAGTGAGACGGGAAATTTGAAGTCATGAGAAATAATAAGTAGTGGGAAAAGACTAAGGTCAGAAAGAATAAGTTAAACAATTATTATCTTAAGGTTGTCCAGGTTTCTTTAAAACTTACAGGATTTTGGATATTGGGTGGAGATTTTTAAGATTTAGTTCTTTTTATTTAAAAGGCATATTTATGAAGAGAGAAGGAGAGACAAAGAGATCTTCCATCACTGGTTCACTTTCCAATCTGCCACAACAACCAGAGCTGTACCAGACTGAAACCAGGAGCCTGGAGCTTCTTCTGTGTCTCCCACTCAAGTGCAGGAGCCCAAGGATTTGAGCCATCTTCTACTGCCTTCCCAGGCATATTAGCAGGGAGCTGGATAGGGAGTGGAGCAACCAGGACTCAACCAAACCAATTCTTCTATAGAATGCCCACTCCACAGGTGAAGGCTTAATGCCATGGTGACAGCCCCTGGATTGTTGTTTGTTTCTCAGCAGTAAAATTTGAGAAGGGACTGGTGTTGGAGCAAAGTCAGCAAAGCCTTCCATATTGATGCTAGTTTGAGTCCCAGCTCTACCACTTCCAATCCAACTCCCTGCCAATGCACCTGGGAAAGGAGCAGAAGTGGCCCAAGCTTTAGCCTGGCCCAGCACTGGCTATTGTGGCCATCTGGAGAGTGAACCAGCAGATGGAGTCTCTCTCTCTCTCTCTCTGTATGTGTCCATAACTGTGACTTTTTAAATGAAGGAAATAAATCTTTATTTTTTTTAATTTTGGAAAAGAAGTAAGAATTTACCATTATAAGCTTTTTATTAGTTGGCAATGCTGAAAGTCGTTCTGGAAGCTAAGCTGTCATTAGCTGTCCCCTGTCAGTTGATAGCTTTATCTGACTCTCCATGGAAACTGTTGACTTGAGCAAATCAGTCCTAACATTCCTCAGGGGTCAGGTGTAAAGACAGAAGGCCAAAGATTCCCTTCACCAAATAAAGAGATGCTATGGTGTCACTTAAAATTCCTCCTTTTTCTACTTTAAAAAAAAAAACTTGGAAAATTAAAATCATGAATAGCAAATAAGAAATAAAGGTCAACAGCTTTCCATCTTTAAACATTAGGATATGGCGCTCTACTGGTTTTCTGAGCCCTCCTATGTAATTTTGTGTACCATCGCATACAAACAAAGAACTATGGGGAAAGCCTTGCTGAATGGCCTTATTCTCACAGCTGATAAGCTGCTTTTTCTTCTCTGTAGGGCCTTCCCCCTTCGGCCCAGTTTTCCCTGTCTCTGGTTGTGACTGGGACCTTTGTTTTTCTCCTAATCCCTCTGAGGAGCTTTTCTCTGGGCCTGGAACACGTTGAGCAATTGTTTACAGTTTGATCTGGGTTTATTTCTGACATTTACACCTCTTTTCCCCTTTCATTCGTCACTGGCATTGCTATGGAGACCACCATACTACAAGTATTGAATATTCTCAAGTTACCCCTATTATGAATTCAGACCTATGGAAAAGAGCACTATGATTTATATGCCATAATGTTGGCATTGTGGCATTATTGCAGGCAAACTAATACAAATAATAAATATTTTGCATAAACAGATAAGCACACACCTTTGGTTTTCAGTTTCATTTCCCTGATTACTAGTGAACCTAATCATTTTTTCATGTGACTGTTGGCCATTTGAATTTCATCCATTGAAAAATGCTTGTTTATTTTCTTTACCCATTTCTTAGAATGTTTCGATGTTGCTGGATTTCTTGAGCTCCTTATATATTCTGGATATTAATCCTTTATCAGTTGCATGGTTTGTACACATTTTTCCCATTGTGTCATTTGCCTCTTCACTTTGTGGAGTGTTTCCTTTGCACCACAGAAACTTCTTAGCTTGATGTAAACCCATGCATCTTTGCCTTTATCTACCTCTAGAGTTTTTGCCAAGAAGCCCTTGTCAATGGCAATGCCTTGCATGGAAAGGCAGTGAATTAATTGTATGTGACCACTGAAAATGGATAGTACAGTGCTCAAGTTCCCTACAGCTCCAACAATAACGGCATAAATATAAGGCTACAAAACTATTCTTATACATTTGAAGTCAAAACAAATAAAAACAAAAGAATAATTTAGAAAAGATATCCTTTTTTTTTTCATTCTATTTTCATGTTTTCTCCTTTTTCCTTTTCAGAAGTACTGTAAATGAAGACAATCATGATGGTCCTATGAATACTGATGGTAAGAGGAAAAAAATATTATTTATCATCTCAGGGAAAGAGTTGGAATTAATCACCTTCCAACCCCCAAAATTCATGGCTCAATGTATGCATTGGTCCCTGCAAGTTCCCACACTTTTTTATTTATTTCCCTCTATCCCTATAACCTATTCCCTTTCTTTTTCTTCCTCATCATAAACAAATATTCTTTTGTACTCAGTGTATAGGTATCTGTTAGTGCATATTATTTACATATTGCAACATGTATGTATAGATTTAGTTACATAGGCAGTTTAGGTATGGCTTGCCATTTTCTACACACTCAGTAAAATCTGTGTTCAGGGCCATCCATGTTACTCTGTAAACATTTACAAAATATTTAACATGTTGCCACAAATCCAGTACTCCATGGTATCCACACACCATGGTACGGCCCCATATTTTACTGGCCTACAATCCACTGGTACTATAGTACATCTTCTTTTATCTATCACTTGTGAACATTTGTGAGACTTTCTATAAGATACATAGCCAGCCTGGGACAGCAAATACTTCAGTTGGCTTATTCACTGCCTGCAAGCACTGGGGTTCCATATGGGTGCTGGTTTGTGTCCCAGCTGCTCCACATCCTATCCAACACTCTATCTTTGTTCTCTTTGCAGTACATTTTGAGAACTTAGTAGAAATCGTATTTTTTTACCTCATGCATGAAGTCAGTTTTTTCATCATTAGCCTTTAAGCATGCATCCATGTCCCATTAATTCACAGTGCCAACAATATACTATAACAACTCTATAGGTGCATTTGTGCCTGTGTGTCTATGTAAACATGTCTTTTATTTTATTCCATTAGCCTACTTGTCTATTATACTATTACCACACTATAGTTATTCTCCATCTATTACTGCTCTTATTATATCTAATATCTGATCGTCATTTTATAGTGTACTAAAATCTTAGGCAGTATTTTAAAATCTAATTAATTTATTTGATGAAAGATCCTTAGGAACAAATGAGTTAAGAATTATGACCTTCTGATTTTTTTTCATCATACATGTTCCATATAAGTTCATACAACCAAATGCGTATTCATTTCATAAAAGGAGTAAAGAATGTAATGTCTTTGTTATTTTTGACTTTACATTAGTTTATGAATAATAAACATACAAACCATATACTTTATTCTATCTTTTCATATTATAAAACATGAGTTCTGGTAGATTATAAACTGTTGTATAGTTATCATATCTAGTCCAAAAATCCCAAAATGTTTCATAATTATAGTGTATTTTATTCTATTCTTTTTTTTATCCTTTAGGTCCTGGGAATCTAGATGAGGTCAGATCTGTTTCTTTTTATTTTCATTATAGTACTGTAACCAGTGTATTTAACAATTACTACATCATGACTCACTTTCAGACAAATACAAATTCTCATGAGTAATGGAAATATTTTCTATTTAACTTATTCTAGATGCTTGGTACATTTAAATACCAATCTTCACACTGACTCATAGTAATGTTGTAGTATGCATAAATTTAAGTCTGGATACACATCTGAACTATAAGGCAAGACAGAAAATAAAATCTTTTTCTGCTTACTTTCTAAGTCTAAAGAAAAAAAAGTATTTTAAGTAATCCAAACTTGGATAAACTGAAGTGGAATTAATTTGTATACATTCATTTTGAAAAGTACTTGATTGATATGTATTTTTTTCTTTTTGAATAATCAAAGTTATCAATTTTTTAACAGGAACAAGAGAGTGATGGAGACACATATGAAGACATGTATGAATTATACTTTTTACCATTTTTAACATGAATGTAATATTTTAGATGACATGAATTTATATTCAACAGTAAGATGAAAAAGTTACTTTTTCAGAAGGTTGGCTTAAAGTAGTAACCTTTGCTTAAATGCAGAAAACTAAATGTTTGTTAATTTTCTAAGGATTCTACAGAGGACTCTGTTCAAAAGCTATACTAGAAGGAGCAACCTGCCAGATAAAGCGCAAGAAGGAATCAGAGACGGGAATATAGAAATAATACCATCAGGATGTCCTTAGGCAAATTGATTGATTTGTGCCACATTTTGTGTTTTGCCTTTTCACCTCATTTACACATTCACCATGCAGGTGCTTTGAGAAATGGGTTTCTAGGTTGCCTAAGATAAAAAAAATTTCCTTAACAAATGGGTGGAAATTGACATGAATAAGTTGTCATATCACAGGTTGATCTCCATATACCTTAATTTTCTCTACCTAAGATCTTGTTCAACCAATGCTCGCTAACTTTTCTGTGCCAAGGTTGACGTGTGCACGCATGCACTTGAAAGTCGTTTTGTTCATGCTGACATGCAGCAAGAACGGACCTTTATGAGCAGTGCCTTGTGTCTGCTGGCACAAGTTGTGCAGGGAAGCAGAGCCTAAGGAAGGTATCCTCAGTCAAGTGCCTCTCACTGGATTTAAAGACAAACATTTCCAAGACCTTAACAACCTTGGCTTTGCACCTTTCTCTTTGCTTCAGATACAAATTCTGTGGCCTGCAGAAAACACCCTGCAGGTGCAGAAACAGACTATTTGTGTTCACAGAGAGGCATCCAAGGAACGCGAGAAGAAGAGAGAAAAGGAAGAAAAGAAGAGATTAGAGCTGGAGAAGAAGGAACAGAAAGAGAAGGAAAAGAAAGAACAGGAGATAAAGAAGAAATTTAAAGTAAGAGCTTGCTTGCCAATGGATTAAATAGTAGCTGTTTTTTATACCATCCCACAAACAGGACTTTGCATCGCTGGGGATTGTTGTTTTCCAGAGTGTCTGTCTTCATAACTGTTTTCCTTTCCCAATGTGCTCCCTCAAGAGTCTTACATGCACACACATACATACATAAAACATGGTCATCTAAATAGCATACATTTGTTTGTAGTCAGTGAGCACCCAGGATATCTTATGTTGATTGCGTGAGTTCAATCAACTTTAGGTTCCTCAAATCTATCGTCACTTCCCCTATTGCCTACTTTATTTTAAACTGCTTATCCAAGAGTTTAGGACTATCCACACAGATCTCGCAGTGGCTTGTATAATACCTGGGAAAGGGACAGACACACACCTCCCAGCTGGATCACACCTGTCTCAGAATAAGATCTCTATGATTTATTCTGATTGCTAATATCTGGAACCAACCAATGTTGTTGTCATTATTTTAAGCCTGTGTTTACACTGATTTCAAATACATGCTATTCTTCATTGCTCTGTCTACCCAGATTTTTACCATCTGTCCTGTCTGAACTGTGGTGATTGGATGACTTCTGTAACCACTATTCAACATCATACTCACCAGCTTTATTCTTGGTTACACCATCTTTGATGACAGACCCTCTGCTATGGGTCTAGAATATTAGATACATACAGGGGAATTAAGTGAATTGGAAAATTATTCCTCATTTTGAAAAGGATCCACACTGTGATTCCTTTGAATATTTATTCCTCTTGGGTATTTAATGTATGGTTTGAATTATTAAAGTTTTGTTTACTTATAACTTCCCAGCAATTTACTGTGTTAATGTGAAGATTCAGTGTTATGGAGCAGGGGAACCAGTTTGAAGTCGAGTGGACAGTAGGAGATTTGAATTCCAATGTACCTATGAGTTACGTGATCCTGGGTTTATTCAACTTTTCACAGCCTTAGATTCTTACTCTTTTCTTTAAAGTAAGAATAAATGATTATCACCTTGGAAAGCCTATTATGCAGGTAAATAAATTATGTACAAAGGTCACTGTATCTATTATAGTTTCTCACTAAATTTTGAAAAGTTCACTATATACAAGTAAAATTATGATTACAGTATAAGTATTAAAACATCTTACACAGAATGTAGGACTATCGATAGTTTTATTTTTCAAATGAATAATTTCCTAATCTATTTACTTTTTAAGATGTATTTGGAGGCTAGAGTTACAGAGAGAAAGGAAGAGAAAAAGAGTGAGAGAGAAAGAGATCTTCCATCCACTGGCTTGCTTCCCAAACAGCTGCAACAGCCAGGGCTGTACCAGGCCAAAGCTAGAAGTCAAGGACATTATCCACGTCTTCTATGTAGACCATCTTCCTTTGCTCTCCCAGGCACCTTAATAAAGAGTTGGATCAGAAGTGGAACAGCCAGAAATCGAACCCACATCCTAATGGGATACTAGTACTGCACCTGGCAGCCTAACCAGCTCTCCCACTACTAGCCCCAACCGATTTTGTGTGTGTGTGTGTGTGTGTGTGTGTGTGTTAATTTAATCATACAAATATTCATTTATACAATAAGGAAAAACCTCCTCATCTTCATCTCATCCTAGGCACCATGAGGTCCTGCCATGAACACCCACCCAGCTTGTGTGCTACACACATACACACATACTACTGACAGCTGGAAGGGGCAACCGCTGCTGCTCCTCATTCACCCAGGGAACAAAAACAGGGCAGGGAGGAGGATCAGCTCATTTCCCAAGCCCTGGGAGCCTTACCAGCCTCTCTTGCTGGGGCTCAGAGTGAACCTGGGGATCTGTTTGTTCTCGTGCCCATGTCCTGGCACCTTGGCCACCTTCAGGCCACACCAGCTGAGTTGACTGAGATTCCCTCTGAGCTGGATTTCAATTTTTTTTAAAGATTTATTTTCTCTTATTTTTTTATTGGAAAGGCAGATATACAGAGAGGAGAGACAGAGAGGAAGATCTTCCGTCCAATGATTCACTTCCCAAGTGAGCGCAACGACCGATGCTATGCCAATCCAAAGCCAGGAGCCTCTTCCGGGTCTCCCACGCAGGTGCAGGGTCCCAAAGCTTTGGGCCGTCCTTGACTGCTTTCCCAGGCCACAAGCAGGGAGCTGGAAGGGAAGCGGGGCTGCCGGGATTAGAACCGGCACCCATATGGGATCCCGGGCGTGCAAGGTGAGGACCTTAACCACTGCGCCATCACGCCGGGCCCCCCAACCGATTTTTAACTGAACAATTCTTCTTGTTAAAAATCTGCACATATTTTTAAATATAACATCATTTAGAGTTTTAAAGGAAATATGTAAGGCTGGTTCTTTTGGAGAAACAGTTTTACATCATTTACTCACACAATGAGATGATATATTTTATAAGAAAAATAGGATATAGAACTCGTACCACTGAATATGAACCCCAAAGTTTTTTAATATTAAGACTTCACAAGCTATATTCCTTCTGTAAGATGCCAGTAAATGTTAAGTAAAAGAAATTAAATAAACCTTATAGGCTTAGCCCCGTCAACATTTCATTAGGGATGTTTTTTTTCTTCTTAGTAAATAATTAGCGATATGTCTTAGAGTTAATAGCTTCACAAATTCAGTAACATAAGGTAGAGCTCCTTCAAAATCCACAGTGCATATTTGCATATCAGAAGACTCAAGAAAAAATTCTGTTGAAGTCACAAATTTCAGGTGAGGAAATGAATGATGCTCTAAGCCAGATTATTTCCTTGCTGTCAAAACACCATTCTTCTCAGCATATTAACTGTAAACCATTGCATAACATTTGTCTGCCAGTTTTTATTTGCAAAGTTATCTCTAAAATGTTATTTTTTTTTGTACCAGGTAATGTCTAATCCAAGCATATTGATGATAACAAATTCAAAAGGGGAGAAAGAAAATACTTTTCCCACAACTATTACCTCTCCCTCTAGCCCCCGCCTGAAACTCTCTTTGCTGTTAATAAACACATATACACATACTCACACACAATAAAATAATGCACAAGGCACTCCGTGTGCATTGCATGTGATGTTGATTGAGGCACCCCTTATAGTTCCAGGGATCAGCAGATACCTGCCACCCTCCCCAGGACTCTAAGGTCAGATTCACCTGTGCTGTGTGTGTCTTGCTTCATCTTTGTAATGCTTCCCCACATCCACCTGTAAGAACATTTACCAGAAGCAACATTCACCACCAATTCCTATTTCAAACATACGAATGGAATGCAGCCAGCTTAGCAGGTTATGAACACGATATCTTTCAAAACAAGATTCTTTAAAGGCTTTCTGGACAATGAAGAAACTTGACAATGATTGTTTTTCCACTCTTTGTAGCTGACAGGTCCCATTCAAGTCATCCATCGAGCAAAGGCTTGCTGTGACGTCAAAGGAGGGAAAAACGAACTGAGCTTCAAGCAAGGAGAAGAGATTGAAATCATCCGCATCACAGACAACCCTGAAGGAAAATGGTTGGGCAGAACGTCCAGGGGCTCCTGTGAGTCGAGATTTCCCTGACTTTCTTTGTGAGCCCATACAACACATGCTTCCACAGCCATAACCATCAGGTTAGGTGTATGTGACCAGATGGATTAAGATAGGGACGATTTCAATGGCAGATTTAATTTCATCTTCACTGCATCTGTGTTATCTTTTTAATCAGTAACAATGTATAAAAGTTTCTGTTATCTCAGGAAGGAACAAAGGGCATTTGCTCTACAATGAAGCTGAAAGGAAAACAAAGCATTTTATGTTCATCACTTTGGGATCTTTACCATAAGTTTTAATGAGGAGTCTTGGACAGAGTAAAGAATGAATCTACATGGACAATCGTTAAATCAGAAGTGCAAACAAATGAAGTTTTAAGGAACAAAAATACAATTGATATTTCGTTCACAACCTGAAAAATATGTGAATTCTAATTAACTGAACCTGAGTCTCTTCCTGTTTGGCAGATGGCTATATTAAAACAACTGCTGTCGAGATCGATTACGACTCTTTGAAACGTAAAAAATCCTCTCTTGGTGCTCTTTCATCAAGACCTATTGAAGACGACCAAGAAGTGTACGATGATGTTGCAGAGCAGGATGACATTAGCAGGTGTGTGCAAATACTTTTTTTTTTAATTTTTGTTGTTTGAGAGAGAGAGAATGAAACTGACAGAGAAAGCTCTCATTCTCTGGTTCATTCCCCAAGGGTCCATAGAGACCACGAATGGAGCAAGGCCAAAGTCAGGAGACAGGAACACAATCCATGTCTCCCACATGGGTGACAAGACCTCTCAGGGTCTACACTGGCAGCAAACTGGAGTTGGGATTCAGAGCTGAGACTGTAACCCAGAGAACTCCATAGTAGACCACAGGCATCTGAATGCTGGGCTAGATGCATGCCCTGCAAATCCAGATTGTAAAACAGAAATGCGTCATCTCCTTGTTTACATTGTATGTTTTAAGAATCTAGAAGCGTGTTTCTCATCTCTCAAGACTTTTATCACTAACCTAACTTATCACTTATTTTAAGCTCAGTATAGGTGATAGGTTATCTAAAAGTCAGTAATTTGTTTTTCTAATCAATTGATTAAATGGAGATAGGCCAAAAAGTTCATGGACAAGTGAAATGAGAAGATACATTTGGGCAGACCTTTAGCACAGCAGGTGTGATGCTGTTTGCGACATTTGCCTCCTAGCTGTGTGTCTGGAAAGCAGCAATGATGGCCCCAGTGGTTGGTCCCTACCATCCAAAGGGGAGATCTAAATTGAATTCTGGGATCCTGGCTTCACTGTGTCCCAGTCGCAGCTCTTACAGGCATTTGGGGAGTGAACCAGTAGTTCCAAGATGTTCATCTGTTTCTCCACCGTTCAGGTAAATAAAAACAAATAAGTAAATAAATAATTTTCAAAGATAAATCTGTTTTTGGTAGAAAAACATTAAAATCTATGCCATTTTCAATAGTATATATTTCTGTGCATTCTTGAGGTTCCCTCATACATGAATTTCATAATTTTTATAGCAAAATAAACTGGCTTCTTTTTTTAATGATCTTTACATAGTTGATTAGGGCTCAGTGGGTCATGGGCTAGTGGATAAGACCACCATTTCCACATTCTCTTTTTTCCTTCCTGTACCTGGGGGAAGAGAGAGACAAAGAGAGAAGCCACACCCACCCTCCCAACCATCCCAGGGGTCCTCAGTGTGGGGTATGCTCCAGGGGCACTACTCAAATAAACTTGTCTTTTAACTTAATTTCATTATAGGTGTAAACTACTATTTAAAATGTAGCAGTTTGTCAGAGCTTCTCAACAGTGTTGTCGTTTCAAAACATTCTTTTCCATAGTATATTCAACATGATTGGATCTGCAGGATTTTTCTTAAGTATATTTATCAGATAAAATATGAAGTTAATAAAATGTATCACCTCCTTTGCTCTGTAATATCTCAGTATTTTGGTGTCATTACTTCAAAATATAACAGAAAAAAAAGACTAAATGTTATCACAACTCCAATTAGCCTTTCTGTAATAAATCTGAGGCTAGCATTGTGGCATCGTAGGTAGAGCCTCTGCCTGCCATTCTAGAATCCCATATGTGCACTGGTTCGTGTCCCACATGCTTCACTTCCAAACCAGCTCCCTGCCAACAGCCTGGGAAAAACAGTGGGAGGTGGCCAAACTGCTTAGGTCTCTGCCACCTGGTGGGAAGACCAAGCTGAAGCTCCTGACTTTGACCTGGCTTAGAGTATTTGCAGCCACTTGGAAAATTAACCAGCAGCTGGAAGATCTTTCTCTCTGATTCTCCTTCTCTCTTTGTAACTCTTACTTTCAAGTAAATACATCATTTGTAAACAATCCCTTTCTTCTGAGTATCAAGGGTCCAACTTTCCATGCCTCACTAGATTAGGATGACTTTACCTCCAAGAATTTGGGGTGTGCCTTTCCAGGGCCAAGGGGGCAGCAGGCATTTCTTCTGGAGGACAGAGGGGAGACCGGCTGTCCCTCCCAGTCACTTCATCTTGCCTTCCTCCCTTGCTCTGTCCCTGGCTTCTTTTCAAGACCCCTTCCTTCTGCTCCCTCTTCTACCACTCATTCTGCCACTCATCTTCCTTTGTCTTTTATTTATTGTACCTTTACATTCTGCTTCTCTCACTGTTCTTTCTGGCCATACCCATCTTTCCCGTGACAGCTACAGTTCCCTCAAGTTGAAGGGCAAGGAAAGGAAGAATCTTATCTACTTAAAATTTGCATTTCTCTAGACCCACCATATAAAACTGGAAAACATCTACTGAGATCACAAAACCAAAAGCCCTGCTGGTTCTTTACCTGGCAACTACAGTGGGGGATGGTCTACATGTTTCAAAACTGAAACTTAAAAGAAAATAACATTTAATGTTGCCAGCCATATGGGATGTAGGCACCATAGGTAGAGGTTTGGCATGCAGTGCCACACATGCTAGCCCACCTCAGCTTGGTCTTTCTAAAATAAATTACAGCCTGCTTTACTTCATACCAGATAGGATAAAAAATTATCCAGCATAACAAAAATATGGAATGCATGCACTAGAGTTTGACAATCACAAATTGGCTTTCATAAGAAGAAATCTACCTTGAGACTCAGTAAATGTCAACCTTGAGGTTGGATGAAGTTCTCAATGGTCATAGCAGGCAATTTACGGAATTTAGAATTTTCTGAACATGAGTGTGTCAAGATTATCAATGTGCACATATTGCATGTTTATCTGGTTTTTTTGAAAAACATTTTACTTTTGGAGAATTTAAAGAACTGCATTTATGTTAATAACTACATATTTATATTGAAACACATACTCAAGAAAACTAAATGTACATGGTTTTGCTCAAGTTATTTCTGAGGCTCAGCTTCCTCTCTAACAAAAATGAAGGAATTGGGGACCAGCATTATAAGCCTCTGCCTCCAACACTAGCGTGTCCTTAGGGTTCCAGTTCAAGTCTCGCCTGCTCCACTTTCAATCCAACCTCCCTGCTGATGCTCCTGACAGGGCAGCAGAGGATGACACAAGTGCTTGGGCCCCTGCACTCATGTGGGAGACACAAGCTCCTGGTTCCTGGCTTCAGAATGGCCCAGTTTCAGGTGTTGTGGCTTTCGGGGAATTAACCAGTGAATGGAAGCTATCTTTCATGAGGGTGATCTTACTCTGGCTCTGTTTCTATAACTCAGCCTTTCAGATAAATTTAAAAATATTTTTAATGAGGGAATTGAATCACTTCTGAGGTTTCTTTAGTTTTCAAAATGTGCGTTTCCTTCCCTCTAACAGAACTCATGTTTTAGTAGGAGATATAGATAAAAAAAGATGGCCATCACATGAATGCTAACATAGGGAACACACAGACTGGTAATGATAGCAAGGAAAAAACACAGGCTATCAAGATTTATACAGGTAAGGGCCATGCCTTACAAAAGTCCTGTGAACAGGAATTCAATTTTTAAAAAGTTCTCCCTTGAAAAGAAGAGTTTAATGCTTTTGGATTAAGAGAAAGCTTACATAGTAATAAGATAGTGAAAGATAATTGAATTTAATACAATGTAATTGAATGTAATTGCTCTATTTAACTCCTACAATAACATTGGTGGTTTTAAATAGTCCATCTGTTGATTGATGTAATAATGTATAATCTGAAAAAAATTCTCATGGGAAAATGTTAAAAGCAAGTAGTGCCTTTGTTTTGACTACCATTCCTAGTAACTCACTTGATTCTTGTTTTCTGATTTATTGTTATTATTCATCTATTGTAAGAAGCGTTTTCTTCCTTTTCACATCTAACTACCTGATAAAGTTTAGCTGAAATGTTATTATCTTTTATAAAACCATGCAATGGATATATTTCTCTTCCTGAAAACTAAATAATTCATGTTTTAATTGAATCTTTCTGGATTTTTCCTAGCCAAAGTCAGAGTGGAAGTGGAGGTAAGCCACACACTTTAATCAATAGCTTCTCTGTAAGTCTTCAACATTTATGTGTTATAATGCTAATACTAATTATATCAGAGACAAAATCGTTTGCCAGTAACAAAGGGGGTCTTAATGTGTTGGAAAAATCCACAGCCTGATCATCAATTTTCTAGATTTTAGTCTTGGCCTCCAGCCAACTGAGCCGCTCGCTTATTCTTGCCTAGCTTGACGGGGATTGTAAGGTGGTCCCACTTGGAGTGTGCACGGGGGCAATCTTGGCCAATGTTCTGGCATAACTAAACGCAGCCCCACTTTCACTCTCCTGTTTGGTTAAGTATTCCTGTTTACACACCTCGGCTATGTCACTTAAAGACCTATAGATTTCCCAGCAACGAAACAAATGATTTGAAATACTACCACCTTTCGATGCCAAAGTCCTCATTCAAATTTCAAGCTTATAATGAATATGTGTATTCCCTCGAAGAGGAAATTCTCATTAAACAGTTGTTAAATAGCAAATTTCCTGAAGAATTAACATAATCAATGATATAAGAAAGGGTTTAAACTTAAAAATACTTATTCACAATGCCACTTTGGGAGGCTGGTGTTGTGGCAGAGTGAAATAAGCCATCTCTGGAAATGGGGCATCCTAGATGAGTGCCAGATGGAGCCTGGCTGCACCACTTCCCTGCCTGCTAGGAAGGCACAGAAGATGGCCCACCCATGTGGGAGACCTGGGTAAAGCTCCAGGTTCCTGGCTTCAGTCTGGTACAGTTCAGGCCATTGCAGTCATTTAGGAATTGAACCCATGGATGGAAGATACCTCTTTCTGTCTCTCCCCTTCTCTCCCTCTCTCTCTGTGTAATATCTTTGCCTTTGAAATTAAAAAATAAATCTTTTGATAAAATATGGCCTTTGATGTGTTTGTTTCAGTTACCATCATTGCTCATGTGTTTGCTTTCCATTCCAACTTGCCTTTATTAGTTATGTCTTGATCAGTATCATTTTCTGGATATCTCTTACTGTTGGATGAATTTTTCTTGTCACTCCCTCACATCTCCTTTTTCCCACACAAGTCTACGTCTCCTATACAGTTTTATTCTTTCCATATTTATTTTCCTCACTCCTTTCACCTCAAATTCACAATACCTCTTATCATTCCTCATTTCTCATTTCAGCCCTAAGAATTCTTTCTAAAATGATAAAGCAACTAATTTACTGTCTATGTAAATATATACATTTGTTATTTGTTATCTATAGGAAAATAAGTTTTTGAACTTCAATGGTTGATAGGCAAGAGGAATATGTTATAGCTAAATCAGAAGGATTTGTTATCAAAATCGGAGTGACTTTTATGTGCCACATTATAAAATTAACAAGATATCTTCTTCCTAATCTAAATGAAGGGATGTTTCCACCACCTCCAGACGATGACATTTACGATGGGATAGAAGAAGAAGATGCTGGTAGCAGGTAAGAATAATCAGTGAATTGTCTTTTTGGAAAATGTTACCTATACTAAAAATGTATTTTGTGTTTTAATCAGGATATAAAATAGGAAATAGCATTCTCAGTTATCAAAAATTATTAGAATGCTTAATTGGCAGCAATAACAAATCAAGAGGTATAATTGTACCACACTTCAAATGACATGGTAGCTTGTTTAGAAAAACCTCTAAGTGGTAGAAGTGAAATTAAAAAATGTGATCAATTGTTGGTGAGGTAGGTATCTCTCAAGCCCTTTCCATTCTTTCATATATCAATTAATAATTGGCTTTCAACATCTGAAGAGTTCATCAGTCACACTCTACCCTGTGTGTAATTACATAATTGTAGACAACCCAAATAAATTGACACCATGTGTCCTTTGTGCCTGAACTACTATTGCACGCTTGACCCTGTAGTTTCAGAATAAAGAATTTTGTTATTATATAACAATTTACAAAACTGTATTTGAGATTAATAATAAAATTCCATTTTGAAATAGCACCTTTAAATATTTAAGATCAGCAATTATTTAATCATAAGTGTAGCTAAATTGATGTTTAAAATTTAGCCTTGGTTTGGTTTTATATTTTAAGAATTGAGAGACATCTAAGAGAAGAAAAATATGATTTATCTAGTAGGAACAGCATCCAAATTCCATGATGTATAAGCTTAGCCGTACTGTCTTGATAGAGCATGAGTTTCTTTGTTGCCTGTATGCTCAATGATCCTAAGTAGCAATAATTACTTTTAAAAATCCTGAATGTCCACCTAATGTCTTCACATCAATGCCTACATGCTCTAAAGCTCTATGCTACAGGTTGAAGAGAAGAGTAACACGTGGTCCTGGGGGATTTTGAAGCTGTTAAAGGGAAAAGATGACAAAAAGAAAAGTGTACAAGAGAAACGCAGAGTCTCTGAGTCAGAAAATAATGAAGGTTCATCGTAAGAGTCAACCCACCGACTCCAGCACACGATAACTACACTAATATGTTAACCAAACGCTACTAATGTTCTGTAATGATAATCCAGCCCTAACAGTCGTAAACCATCTTATTTTCTTCTTTTAATCATGTTAGCCTCATGGAGGGTATCCTTCCAAAACCCAAACATCAGATAATAAAAACTCACATATTCAAAGAGATATACTTTAATTTCTTCTACAACACACATACATTAATATACACATACTCACTCATATACAAAACACGTGGGCACTCCATTTAGTTGGGCGTTCTAAAACTATAATATCACATCTAAAGTTTTCAATTCCAGTGCTGCATTTAGCATATGGAAACTTACAGGGGTAGTGCAATGCCTTAACTGGCTAATCCTCCTCCTTGCAGTGCCAGCAACACAAATGGGTACCAGTCTATGCCCCAGCTGTTCCACTTCCCATTTAACTCCCTAAGTATGGCTGGGAAAACAGTAGAAGATGGCCAAAGCCTTGGGCCCTGGCACCCACATGGAAGACTCAGAAAAAGCTCCCGGGTCCTGGCTTTGGATCAACTCAGCTCTGGCCATTGTGGCCATGTGAAAAGTGAACCAGCATATAAAGATCTTTCTGTCTTTCCTCTCTGTAAATTTGCCTTTCCAATAAAAGTAAATTTTTAACACACACATATGTGTGTATATATATATTTTATAGTCACATATATTATATGTGTGTAGTTATATATAGTTATAGTTAACTATAACTACCATTGACTACCCTTCAAAATATACACTCTTCTTAACATTAATTTTCTAGAAATAAAGGACACAATATGGCCTTTTAAAAAAAGTATCTTTTGATGGAGGCAAGGCAGAGGTAGAGATTTTACACCCACTGGTTTGCTCTCCAAATAGTCCTAGTGGCTAGGGATAGGCCTGGGGTTCCCTGGCAGGAGCCAGAAGCATGGGACTCTACCTGGGTCTCCCGCATGCAGGGCAAGGATCCAAGTACTTGAGCCAACATCTACTTTTCTTTCTGGCACATTCACATGAAGATGACTGGGAAGTGGAGTACCCAGAACTTGAACAAGCAATCCTTTATGAGATACCAAAGTTGCAAGAGGGGGCTTAACCTACTGTGCCATGATACTCACTCCATAGTTAGGAATTTTATTTTTCTAAATACAGCATTTTAAAGTCTTAGTAACTCAGTCAAAGAATGGTGATATATTAATTGTATTTGAAATATATTTCTTCTAGACTAAAATCATTCTAAATATCTTCTTTAAGTAAAAACTAAATCAAGCATTTTCTCTTTAGGTCACCAAAATAACCCCTTCATATAAATTCCATACATTTAGTGAATTGAAAGTGTCTGAATCATGTTCCCTGATATAGGAAAGCCTTTTGTTTTTATAAATACCTAATATATTCACCACATTTAACTGAAGTCTTCATAAGATGTTAATTCCTTTCTGCTTGAAATCCTTTTGGAAAACACCAAAACACGTTAATAAGCTTGAAATTTCAACAAAGCATAAATAGAAATATCTGGAGCAGCGTTACTCAAATATAAACCTTACATAGAAATAAAGGACTTTTCTCTTGCTTCAATGAAACCTGTATCAATTCTGATCTTGGATCATTAATTAATTCATAACCCTGTGACTTAACCAGTCATTCCTGTGCCGTGCACCATTCTTTCGTGTGTGTGTGTGTGTGTGTGTGTGTGTGTGTGTGTGCGTGCGCGTGCCTGTGCCCATGCACAGAACAGGCATACTTCAGAAAGTGGTAAAGAAAAAGGCCTTTTTCTCTTACAACTAAATGCTACCTAATCCCAGTTTCAGATCACATCTATTAATGAGCACTCATTCTAGTTTAAGTGGGTATTTCTCTCTTATTCACCATTCTCCTGTGGAGAACAGGTGTATATATATGCACCTGTTGTGGAAGCATGGTCATACGTCTGTGTCCTCTGTTGATGCTGATGCTATTTTTGTCCTCTTTATTTCAAACAATTTTGGTCCAAATCCATTCCACGGTATTCCATGTCATACCAAAATATTGAATATATTTCATTTATTCTGGTATATTACTATGTGCAAATTTCATAGAACAAATCTGAAAACACTTATCCAATGATTGTGGGTAAAGTAAACCAATTAGCATTTTCACTTTTATTTGGCTTGAGACTTCAAAAAAAAAAGCTTACTAAATTATATTTTGGATAGATGAAAAATGGGACTTCTTGGAGAATTGGAGGATAAGAAAGAAATGATTGGCTATCATATACCTCTCCTCTACATAAGAATCCATTGCCACATTCATATCAGTCTAATTGTTTTCTCATTTCTCTTTCAGTTTCCCTTCTCCTCCTACACAACTGGGTAAGTAACAAAAACTTAAGGTTAGTGTATACGATTATTTTTTTGCCAATGGAATAGCGCAATGCATTAAATGTAATCACAGTGTCTTTGTTAAGTAATAAATTGTGTAGCTTTCTTAAATAGCAGAATGATGGACTTATAACTGTTGCTGAAGAGCTATACTGTTGTAACAATAGGGGGAAATCAGTAGGATCAGTGGGGAGGGTAAAAGGGAAATTTCTGAGCCTATAGAACTATATCATGAAAAATAATAGATAGATAAAATTATGTAGCCTCTGCAAGAAACTTTAACTTAGATGAATATAGTTACTCAAAAATAAAATAGGAGTATGAGTAAAATAAAAATGTTGATGAATTTTAAGTTGTTCTTTCAGGAGCTGCTATAGTGTTGGGAGTAGCCTGGAGCGTTAGACACTAACACGCCTTACACCTCCTCTCTTTGGCTCAGCCCAAGCTTAATGTACTGGATATCTTCATAAAAGTATCTAATTATAAACCAGGCTATATGCTATCATATAGTCTAAATATATTTCCTAAATATAATTTTATCTTCTGAGTATTGCTTGCTTATTTTTTTAAGACCAAAATATCATATTTAGAAATTTTCAATGTAACATTATTTCTTCTTTGTGTAAAGTCAGATTATTATTTTTTTTTACAAGTTCCTGATACAATTCTTTTTTTTTTCTTATTAATAAATTTTATTTTGACATTCTTTACATAGTTAATTAGGGTAAGAAGGTTCAAGGGCTACAGGAAAGTGGATAATACTAGTATGTTTTCCATATTGTTAGCTTCATATTCAAAGGGGGGTATTTAAGGGAGAAGCCCACCCAATTTCCCACCCTCCCCAGGTCCCGGATATAGGGCATGCTCTGAGGTTCTTGCTCAAGTGGTCTTGATATTGCCACAGTTATGAATCACTGTCAATCTTGCCACTCCAAGCACTATGAGATCTTTGAAAAATCCACTGATTGACATAGTCCATCATAGCTGAGATGGTTGGTTGACCTGTTCTGTCTTCTCTCTTTTCTTCGTTAGGGTTCTGAGTCCAGCATTTAGATTAGGAAGATCTCCAAAGAAACTTCTTGTATGTGCTAACAAGTACAGGGCCTGGCACCGTCCATCGCTCCAATCAGCTGGTGGTTGCAATTCCTGGGTTGGTTCTGTTTTCACTCCCGACTTCCACTGGAACCAATGGGTGTTGCAGTCCAGCCTGGTTCTGCCCAGCACATACTTGGCCCTCACATAAACCAGCAGGAGCTGTAGCCTAGGTTGGAGCAACCCACAATAACCCCAACCAGGCCCACCCCCTACCCTGGTTTGCCAGTAAGTGTAGCAGTAATCCAGTCTGTCCCACATCCCATTCCACCCCAGCCGCTGTCTTAGTTTTATGTCCTCCCATGGAAGTGGTAACCCAAGAGGGATGAGCCCACTATTTCCCTCCCAGGCCTCTCCCACTCCCAGATTCCAGTTGATGCTGCCCAAACAAACCTCGCCCACTTTAATTTTGTTTGCACCAGTAGGAATAATCCGCCCAGCCTGGCCTTTCCCTGATCTAGTCCACCTGAGGCGCACAGGTGTGGTAGCTCTGCCTAGTCTGGTCTGCCCCCATCCCAGCCCATGCTCTCCTGTGGAAGTAGCTGTCCAGCAAAGGAACCCTCCCTTATTCCCCTGCCAGCTCTGCCCACTTCCTTTCTTGTTCTCAGGCTGGTTGGGCGCTGCGGTCCCTTCCGGTACAGGCAACCTCACCTCGGCATTCCATAATGTGCACTAGTCTTTGTTGCGACCGAACCTGGGTCGACCCACACTGGTACCTGGATTTGCCAGTGGATGACGTGGACAGATTCAGCCTGGTCTTGCCCCCACGTCTGCCAATTGTATGCCAGTGGGTAGTTTTCCATGGCTTTTTCTGGGCTGTTTCCTATCATGTTTCTTGCGTTTACCTGCTGGGTCTGTGCCCTGCCAGAGGAGTTGCCCAGGCTCCTCCATCAGAACCTCTCCCAATGCCAGGTTTCACGCTTACCAGTGGGTCCATGAGCCAACCCTACTCAGTCCACCTCCTGTCATAGCAGGAACTGTGGCTTTTCCTGACTGGCCTTCAACCCAATCTGGTTCTTGCTGTTGGATGTTCCAGCCCAGCCATGGTTTGCCCATACCCACGTATGGCTCACACATGGCTCAGTAGGGGTTTGAGACCCTGCCTAGTCCATCCCACATCTGCCCTGGTCCTCCAGAACACCAGGGGGAGTCGGGGTCCGGCCCAGTTCGGTGCATTCAATCCCAGTCCACACTTGTGCCAAGGGAGACTACAACTGTTTCCAGATCAGAACGCAGCCCCCTTCCAGGCCACGCGCCTCTTGGTGGGAACCTCAACCCAGCTAGGGTTGTCCCCTTTGCTCCCCAACTGGGTCTGTTCCCAGCCATAGATCACATGCCTGCCAATGGATGCTCTGACTCAGCTTGACACAGCCCCTCCCCTGTCCCGAACTCTGCCTTAGACACTGTGGCTTAGCGTCCCAGGCTCCCACAGACCAGCAGGTACAAGAGCCTAGCTCGGCAAGACCTCTGCTCCCTCCTGGTTTCTAGTTTTACTTGTGGGCTAAGGTTTGCTCAGTTGTGCCTAATCTACTCTGTTCCATTACCAGTTGACACTTTGGCCAGCTGTTGGAGCTACTTGTGCAGGACAAGCCCCAAGCCATAGCTTCTGCATGACTGGTATTTGGTGCTCAGCATTATTAGTGATTACAAGTTTTGCCAAGGAAGAGTTACTGCCTGTTTCAGGTCCAAGAAGAACAATGGGTTCAACCTGGAGCTAATTAAGCAGCAACTCAAAGAACCAAATCCCCCGAGCTCCTGGGCCGGGCGGCCAGCAGGCGGAGCCTGGCACCAATGGCGCACTGGCCGCCCGGGGAGAACGGCTCACCATGTGCCCATGGCGGCCGTCCGGGATCCAGGCATGAGACACCCCGTCCTGAGACCCACCAGCTGCCAGGAGGCTGCTGGAGGTTTAAATAACCCAGGCCCAAGGTCGCGCCCCTCCCAAATCCCATTCACCGCCCCATGAAGGCGGCGGGTGGGCCCCGGACCTGCCCAGTCCCGGAGGCCTCCCCCCCTCGGTCTACTCACCCCGAAGGAAGCGGCCCCCGAAACCCAGCAGGCCCGGGGAGAACGGCTCACCACGTGCCCATGGCGGCCGTCCGGGATCCAGGCATGAGACGCCCCGTCCTGAGACCCACCCAAGTCAGATTATTTTTTAAATATGCAATGAGACAGATCTTTAAAATATTTGCTAAAATTTACATTGAACAAAATAAAATGTTATCTCATTAGAATACTTAGGAACTTCCTAAAAGCTTATTTACCTTAATTCATTTTAGTGTGTTGACACATTTGTGACCTAATCCTTAGTATTCATAAAGGTATTTATAACACCTAGGTTTAAAATGGAATAAATGTAATCCAGTCATTTAAGAATATTTTTAGTTTTATTATGTTTTCAACAGTGCATGTGTATGAAATAATAATTTTCATCCTTCTGGAAAGCAATGATCTACCATAGCTTACAAGCATTTATTTTGGATTTTTTTCACATCGTTGTGAAAATTTTGTCCTATGACTTAACTAATTGAATAGAAAGGGAGGGAGGGAGAGAGATGGAACTGGAAATGAAAGTAGCATTTTTAAGGGCAATCACTTCCCTGCCACTATCAGAGACCACTTCAAATTGCTATGGCAGTAATTCCTTACAACGTTTGCAATACTTACCACTTAGTCTGCATATGCCATGGCATAATCTAACAGAAGCAAAGAGGAAGCATTTCTCCTGCTTTCATTAACACAAAATCTTAGAAGGAAGAAAAACATCTTCAGGTTGAAAAAGTCATGGAACCAATCAAAGTCCTAGCAACATACAGCTTCTCAATACCTGCTATTAGCAGAAGTACCTCATTAACATAAATATCCCTTTCATTTGAACAGTGCCACACAAGAACAGACCAGTCAGTAAAGTAGAAAGGAAGAAAACAATGAGGGAGAAAGGGCGAGAAGGTCAAGGGAGGGAGAGAGAAAAGACGTGAGAGACAAGAGCATAGATAGAAACATAATAAAATATACTGTCACAACTGTAAGAATCCTAACTCAGACCTCTACCTTTTACTACTGGTAGCCAGTACAACTAATTTACTTGTAAGAAGTTTGCTACTCATACTTGTGAATCTTCAAATAATCATAATCACTGTTTCAGGTTTTCCCCCCAGATAATAACAGTTGCAATCATGGCCATGTGATGTGCAGACCTCTTGGTGGATAAGGATTTCCCATCTTTTGTAACAATACCTCCGGAAAAACATACACAGACACCAGAAAACTCCCTCTAATTCCCTTGATGCAATCCTTAAATTACCGTGGCAAGTTTCCTATCATAATTGAAAACACTTTCCAATCTTGTTCTCTCTTCTGTTAGACGTTGGAGATGAAGTTTATGACGATGTGGATGCTTCCGATTTCCCAGCACCACCCCTGGAGTTGAGGTAATTAAAATGTCTTTGTTACAATGACACTGCTTGAGATCATTCTCTGGAATGAAAGCTCAGTGGGAGATGGGAGGCATGAGGGCGAGCACCTGTTGCAGTGCACGCTTCCTCTGCTTCTGACTCATCTTCCTGATAATAAGCGTTCTGGGAAGGAAGAGATGATGAGTCTCAAGAGTGTGGGTCCCTGCCACCTATTTAGGAAACCTCAATGAGTTGTGGACTCCTAACTCAGCCCCGGCTATTGCAGGCATTTGGAGAATGAACCAGCAGATAGAAAATCTCTCTCCATGTCTCTCAAATTAAAAAATGAAAATAAATAAACCAACAAACAAGTTTTGAAACCTGTTCAGGTGTATGCCTACAGCGCATAAGGGTGTTTGCTCTGGCCTCCTCCTTACAGCTCTATTCTATTCGGATCTAGTTTTAAATTCTCTGCTAAGCCTTCTATGTCCTTCCCACAACCCTCCACTCCAACCACACTCCCACCTCCTGATTTTCGTTCCTACTCCTTGTCGCTGATTCACTGCCACCCTGTGACACAGCAATGTCGTCATTCATTGGGAAAATGTATTTGAGATCCTGATCACAGAAAATGTTGGATTCTCTTCCTCTCTCCACATTGACTTGTCTCAAGCCAATCTCACCTTGAATATATTTTTAGGTTCACTCCTCAGGCTTCACTCTTCTTGTTCAAGCCCCTTCTGTCCTTTACATAATTGGATTTTTATGGGGGGAAAATGATTTTTGAAAAAAAATCAAGTACCTTTCTTTTTCACACATACACACACAAAAAAATCCAAAGTTCTGTTTTTAAAAAAAAAAGTTGGAGAAGGCATTGTGCCATAGTAGGTTAAGCTACTGCTCAGTATACCCACATCCATGCCAGAGTCCCTGAGTCAAGTCTTGGTTACTCCAGTTCCTGCTAATGTGTACTATGACGGCCCGCATCCCTGTATTCCTGTCACCCACATATGGGAGATCTGTGCTAACTGTCAGGCTCCTGGCCTTGTCCTGGTCCAGCCCTGGCTGCTGTGGGCATTTGGAGGATAAAGTGAGGAATGAAAGATGTGTGTGTGTGTGTGTGTGTGTGTGTGTGTGTGTGTGTCTGTCTGTCTGTCTGTCTGTCTGTCCATCCATTTCTCTGTCATCTTGGCTTTCAAATACATAAATCTTTGACCAGTTACACCCAACAAAGTCATCATTCTTCAATGTACCGAAGGTTTCAGTTTCATTGTAGGCTAAAAGTATGTAAAAAGCTGTGAAAGTCAGTACAAAAGGAATGCCTTTTGACAATCATTTGCAGCAGAAAATAACATGGAAAGATACTTTTTCATCCCGAGATACATATGTGAAGTGACCTAATGCATTCTCTGAATAAAAGCTAGAGCGGCCCTCTCTTCTGAGACAATAGAAGGATGAATTAAAAAAAAAAAAAACGGTAAAAGGATGAAAGTAGCATAAACAGAATTCAAAAAATGAGGTGAACTGGTCAAAATGCAAGATTGATTTCTGAGCATTTGTTCTTTTACCAGCATTGTTAAGCCAATTTTACTGAACTAAAGTCAGTAATCAGGATCAAAGAACCTGAAGGAAAATATGCCCCAGTCATGTATGAAGATCAAGTTCTCCAGGCAAAACAAACAAAGATGAAAGGAGACAAGGGCTGCTTGGTCAGCTCTACACGGAGGGCTCATCTCATCCCCAGGCACACAGCCAAGGTGGCACATTCCTCGGCCTGGGGAGCACCTTCCTCCAGCTGCTTCTCTGCTTCGTGTTACTGTAGAAATGCCACCACAGGCCATCTCCTGGCTCTCTAGGAAGTCGGTCACATGCTGGCTCCTGCCTGCAAGCAAAATAAACCCCAGCTGATTCAACTTCATTAGATAGGGACCATGACTACTTGTTTGCTTATTTATAGTTTCTTTTTTTTTCTACATGTATTTTTTATTGCATTTAATTGTATAACAACGTTTCATAGGCTCTGATGTTCCCCCTGCTCCTCCCCTTACCCTCCCCCCATGGTGGATTGCTCCACCTTATTGCAGTATTACAGTTCAAATCTAGTCTTGTTTCTTTCAATGCAAGCATGTGCCTTGCATAGTCTCCAGTATCTTATTGTGTTCTAACATTGTATTCTAGCTTTAAATAAATTCAAAGGCAGCCTTGGGGCATTTTTAGCATCCATCTGCTCTTGCATCAAGATGGACCCAGATTGCTAATCTGGGTCAGTAATTCCATGAATGCCTCGGCTACGATTAAGGCAGATGTTGATGGAGGCAGATGCAGCCGCTGAAACTGACTTCTGTAACAATGCTTTTCGCAATAGACCAACTTAGTACTAGCACTCACAAATCAAGAGTTAAATGTTTAAATCAATTACACATGAAACTTTATCTTAGCTACTCAAAAATTAATATCAGTGTTCAAAGGGTTTCTTTGTTCACAAACATTCTTTCTTACAATTTCCTTCTTTTTAGCAATTTATACTCTTCCCTGACATTCATATTAACTGCCAAATGGCTCTCAACTTGGGTTACAAAAAACTGTCGCAAGAGGAGCTGTTTAAATAGGTGTGTTAGTACCTCGATTCTGTTCAGATTAAGTTAAAATTTAAAATTAATTTAAATAAATAGGAGTTAAATCCTATGTATTATCATTTACAAAAACCAGTTTAAAAAAAGTTTATGAGACAGAAAGGGAATGAAAAAGAGTACTTTGTCTACTGGTTCATTCCCCAAATGCCTCTGACAGCTTGGGTCCGGGCAGGCTGAAGCCAGGCAGAACTCCATCTACATCTCTCACATGAATATCAGGGACCCGGATAGTAGAGCCATCACCTGCCAGTTCCCAGGGTGTACACAGAGGAGGTTGGAACAGGGAGTGGAGTTGGGACTCAAACTCTTGGACTCAGATGGGATGTGGGCACCCTGAGTAAGGTTTTAATTACTACACCAAACGCCTTCGCTGCATCCATTTTTCAAAAATACATACTTCTAAGAGCTTTGTCTAAGACTTTTGCCAATCACTAACCTGCCCAGGAAAGATTTAAAAATTTAGAGGGTTCAAGAAAAGGTATAGGAAGCCACTGGTATATAGTCGTATTTCAACTATAACTCGGTAACTTTATTTGGTTCAATAAAATTGACAATCTTTCACTTCTTTTTAAACTCATAATCTGTAGTCTCTTGAAGGATTATACTCTGTTCTACAATGTTCTCATTTACCATAATGCATGGTACTGGTTTTCTAAGAAAAATAATTAAGAACCAAGTTCACTAACAATTTAATGTTCTAAATTTAAATCTCTACATATATTTTTATGTTTTTCAAACAATGGCTTGTTTTATGTGCATTCTGTTACTCTAGCCAAGGAGTGACTATTGGAAAAACCAAGACAGAAGAAAAAGACCCTAAGAAGTTAAAAAAGCAGGAAAAGGAAGAAAAAGACTTCAGGAAAAAATTTAAAGTATGTCATATTTCAATATCATACATGCCAAGATGAAAGCACTAGTGAAAAAAATTCAGTGACTTTTAAGTACTAAAATACCTGTTTTAGAGTATAATTCTCAATATTGTAGTTATCCATCACAGTGCCTTTATTTTCCACAAATGTTTTAGACTTAATTTCATCTTTATAACAAAGTGAGCTAGCATGCATTTTCAATCTTACAAATATGTAATCTGTAAGAATATGTTTGTACTTAGATATAAACACAGTTTGAAGAGTTGCTATAATGCATTAGTGAGCTTATGAACAACTTTGGTCCCTCAAAATTTTCTTGAATATTTTATAATACTTTTTGAAAACTATTTAGCAAACAAGTTCCTCATAAGTCTATCAAGAAACAGATTCACGATATGCACCAATAAATCGTTTTAATGTTTTTCTTTTTTTGTTGTTTTAGTATGATGGTGAAATTAGAGTCTTATATTCTACAACGGTTGTACACTCCTTAACTTCTAAAAAGTGGGGGACCAGGGATCTACAGGTAAAACCTGGTGAATCTCTTGAAGTTCTGCAAAACACAGATGACACCAAAGTTCTCTGCAGGAATGAAGAAGGCAAATGTAAGTACTTATTATACCTGGGCACCATACTCCAGGATCTGACAGCCAGTGCTCTGGTGATGACTCTGCCTTTAGGAACTCTCCTGGCCTTAGGCTTTGAGGGTAGCTATGGAAAATATGAAGAAACTCAAGATTTTACTCTGCTGCCATCAGTGTGTTTTATTTTAACCTCTTTTCATTTACCATCTACTAGGTGTAAACTAGGACATCCAAGGTAATTGCCAACTTAGTTCTCAAAAGGTGACCTGCTAAACACCAGCATCGTAAAATCCTTGTAGGGGTGGGCATCTGACCTACTGGTTATCCCGCTATTTGGGACCCCCACATTCTAAACTGGAAGACCTGGGTTCAGGAACGAGCTCCACTCCTAGTTCAAGTTTCCTGGAAACGCACACCCTGGGAAGCAGTAGAGGATGGCTCGGGTAATGATTTCAGGTCTCCTCCAGGAAACCTGAATGAAGTTTCTGGGTTCCATGTAAATCTGACCCAGCTGTGGTTGTCAGGAAAATTTGGGGAGTGAACTGGCAGATGGGAGCTCTCTGTTTCTCTCCTCCCCAAATAAATTGTGTGTGTGTGTGTGTGTGTGTGTGTGTGTGTGTGTGTGTGTGTGTGTGTGTGTGTAAAACAATGAACTAAACAGAAAATACTTGTGTTGGATAAAATTGCACGAACCCATCCTTGACTCACTGGTGCTGGAAACCAATGGAATCTGAGTCCTCTTGCTTAGCTTGTTCACGCCTTTGTGTACTAAAGTGAAAGCTAAAGTGCTGAAGCAGTGAGTACTTCTTGGCTTGATTCTCATGCTACACAGAATCTTGCATCTAGAATTCCCAGTTTTCTTACCTTGTAAATCAACTTGTTTTCAAATCTCCCATCTGCTGGTTCAGTCTCGAATACCTGCAGCAGCTGTGCCGGGCTAGGCTGCAGCCAGGAGCCCCAAATTGAACCTGACTGTGGGATGCAGCACAAAAAGTCCACTTTTATTTTTGTTCACATTAAAAATAAAGCTTATGTAATGTGCAAGGAAACATAATTTAAAGCTATGCTGTCCTACCTTTGAAATCAGAGAGCCAACATGGCCACCGCGCATGCACATGATCGTTGTGTGTGCAGTGCAGACTCTGAATTTGATTTTAATGGGGGAAGGATGAAATAGAGACAGGAATACGTGGAGTTTCCCAAAAACAACACAGTAATTCCAGGAAGGGGGAAATGGATCTAAAGTTATCAGGGAAGAGGTATAGTTGGTTTTTCCAAGGAAAATATAGAATGTGGCTGCAAAAGATAAAGGAAAGAGATGGTATAAAATTAAGATTTGCAGCTCACTGGAGATATTGTTGACAGAACTTTATGAGATAAAGAAAATCCCCTTGCAAGCCAACACTTGTAGGGATCTTTGGTAAGAAATGGCCTGCAGGGGCTTGTGTCATGATGCAGTAGCTGAAGCTGTAGCCTATGGTGCCAGAATCCCATAGGTATGCCAGTTCGTGTCCCAGATGCTCCACTTAGAATACGGCTCCTTGCTAATAGCCTGGGAAAATCAGTAGAGGATGGCCAAAGTGCTTAGGCCCCTACACCCATAAGGGACACCCAGATTTCCAAAACTTTAAATTTATGTGTTATGAATAACTCATTGACTATTTTAGGAAATGATGATGAAAAGAATGTGACATCTCATTAGATAAGAATCAGAGAAATAAGTTGCAGGGTTTATAGTCATGTTAAGAAATTTTTGCAAATTGTATATGGGTCAGGTGTTTGGTACAGCAATTAAATCACAACTTGGGGTACCCTCATCCCATACTAAAGAAGCTGGGCTCATGCCCCCACTCTGGCTCCAAACTGGTCTCCTGCCAGTACACACGGGATGAGGCAGCGGGGACGTGAGCCCCTGCTGCTCACACGGGAGGACTGGACTTTGTGGTAACTTAGCTCTCCCCTTTGAAAAGTAATTCCACAAAATGTCACTAGGCAAGTGGCCAAGTGAACATATCAGAAAAATGATCCCTTAGATAATTGGAGATGAACACTGCTGGGCTATCTAGATGTCATTGTCCCTCCCAGTAGAAAATAAATTCCGGCATCTATGCGCCATCTCTGGTCCTCAGGAGTGGGAGGCTATTCCTGGGCAAGTTCAGGGAGTCAGGATGGATGCTGAGCAGGGTTACCAGGACAGCGCAGGAAGCCAAATAAAAACTATCAGTAAAAAACTACTTTAACCGCAGTGCTGTCGGTTGAACATGGTGGACTAGTACATGTTCAAATGACGAGAACAAGGATGTAAGGGAGAGACCTAGGAATGTATGTAACTGCCATTTGGTTAAGCATTATTTCAAGGTGCTATTATCACACCTGCTTAATTTAACTTTTTAATGTTTTACAGATTTCTTTATTTTTATTTATTTTCTAATTTTTAAAAAGATTTCGTTTGTTTTTATTGGAAGGACAGATATACAGAAAGGAGGAGAGACAGAGAGAGGGGAAGATCTTCCATCCAATGGTTCACTCCCCAAGCGGTCGCAATGGTTGGAGCTGAACCAATCTGAAGCCAGGAGCCAGGAGCCTTTTCTGGATCTCCTAAAGCTTTGGGTCGTTTTTAACTGCTTTCCCAGGCCACAAGCAGAGAGCAGGGCCGCCCGGATTAGAACCAGCACCCATATGGGATCCTGGAATGTTCAAGGCGAGGACTTTAAACACTATGCTATCACACCAGGCCCTATTTTTAAATTTTTATCGAAAAGGCAGATATACAGAGAGAAGGAGATGGAAATATGGACAGAAAGGCCTTCTAACCGCTGATTCACTCCCCAAATGGCGACAACAGCCAGAGCTAAGCTGATCCAAAACCAGGAGCCAGAAACTTCTTCTGGGTCTCTCACATGGTGCAGGGTCCTAAGGCTTTGAGCTGTCCCCAATTGCTTGTTCAGGCCACAAGCAGGGAGCTGGGTGGGAATGGACCAGCCGGAACATGAACCAGTGCCTATATGGGATCCTAGCACATGCAAGGTGAAGATTTAGACACTGAGCTATTGTGTCGGGCCCCACTGTAATTTTTTAAAGCTTCTGCTTAATTTTTACAAGTGTCATATTTAGCCCTCTACTAAACAGGACCCTAGATATTCTTTTTTTTTTTAAAGATCTATTTATTTTTATCAAAGAATAGAGTTAGAGAGGAAAGACAGAGCAGAGACATCTCCCTTCCACTTGTCCACTCTCCCAAATGGTTACAATGCCAGAGCTGAGCCAATCTGAATCCAGGAGCCAGGAGCTTCCTCCAGGTCTCCCACATGAGTGCAGAGGCCATGGACTTGAGCCATCTTCCACTGCTTTCTTAGGCAATAGGCAGGGAGATGGATTGGAAGTAGAGCAGCTGGGACTCAAACAGGTAGCATTATGGGATGCACATGCCACAGGCAGAGAGTTAGTTTGCTAAGCCACTGCACTGGTCCCAACAGTTGATATTCTTAATTGCCTTAACATCAAATTCATATTTCACACACATCTATAGGTTTGGGTCTATTTATTGTATGGGGTTAGCCCCACCTTACATAGACCATTGCAATGGACTTTCAAATGGTAAGTCCGCCTTGATCCTTACTCTTGCCCAATCCCTGCTCCCCGCCCCCCCCCCGCACCCCCTCCCTGCCACACACATACACACCTGTAGTGCTTCTATTATTGCAAAGGCACCAAGTCTGTGGCCTAGCCAGAAAACCCTGTGATCTAACAGAAAAACCAACAGATTGCTGGTTTGCATCTGCAACTAGTACTCCACAAATACGAACTACTTCCTTGTCATTCTTCAAGTAAATGATGCTGCTTCTTCCTACCTGGTTATTTTTCTTGACATGGAATGCTCTTAACTATTCAGAACAGCTCCATTCTCAATCTAAGATTAGATGTGCTCCACTCGTCACTCCAGCCACCTCTGTACCATCTCTCCCAAGTCCACCATCCTGCTGTAATTGTCATGATCCTTTTTGGCAGTTAGTCACCCTCGGAAGACTCTGAGCTTAATACAATAGCAAGCAAATGTTCCCACAATGGCCAGCTTGTGTAGTGCCTAGCACCATGTATGGGATTTTCCCTGTGGAACAGAACCAGGTACTCAGGCGAAAGTTGGACATATGGACACCCTCAGGAAGAAGTCTATTGAATAGTTTAGCTGATGCTCTGCCCTAGCCTTAGTGCCCTGAGTTGCTTCTTGGGTGCCCTCAGAGACTGTATCTGGCAGTTCCTTATCTCTGCATCTTCTGATTAGTCCCAAAGACATTGACAGCCCAGCACTTTGGGAATTTGGCTCACTGTTCCTCTTTCCCTCATCAAAGGAAAGAAAGCATAGCTTGGTAATGATGGAAGTGAGAGGCTAATGCAGGACCCACTTCCCTTGCCATTGTGAAGTGGAATATAAGCTGCTTTCAGATACTACTACATTTGATCAGGTCTGGCCCACTAACTCCTACAGATGCAAACTCTGGAGGTTTTGAGCTCTCAAGTATATATTTCTGGCGTGTTCCCAAGTGTTTAGAATCTCTCAGTAATATTTGTGCAGATACCGTAGCTCAGTGTCTCAGAAGCTGTGAGTTTTCCCACCTCCTGTCATCAGAGAAAGATTTTCTACCAAAAAAAAAAAGTGTGGAATGAAGCAGGAACTAAGTTATTTGTGGCAAAATGTTCCCCCATTTCTTTTGGGCATCAAAGAAAGGAGACTTTAAAGATGCTTTAGATCTACTCAAATCCAAAATGTTATTAAATTTCAAAACACCCATGAACATAGAAGTATTTTTAAAAATCAGAAACTTTTTAAGTGAGTCTTATGTGAAGCTTCAGAAATAACAATTTAGACAGGCAAGACAAACATTTTTAGGAAAGTAGGAAAATTAGTTATGCTTGCAATATACACTACTTTTTTCTTCATTCTATTATATGATGAAAATGGCTCAAGGCATTTTTCCCTTGAAGTTGAATGTGGTTCAACTTGCCTAGACAAATCTATACAAAATCATTTTATTGTTTATGAATGAAATGAAACCATAATGAGTGTATTTATGTCTGGATTTTCTCACACACACAAAAAGAAATGATTAAATACTATACTGGCATTTTTACTAAGTAAAAAAGTTTTTGAAAATATTAGGATGGCTTCTGTCCTCCAAAGATCTTTTCTTTTTTAATTTCCTTGGTAATTTTAAATTTTTATTTTTAAAGGTGAGTCATTTGTCCTGAGACACATCTGCACCATTGCAAGCAAGTGTTTTAGGAAGAAATTAATGAGCACATATCGGGAGTGGGTGTTGCTTTTCTAACCAGCTCTACCCCACATGAATTTCAAAACATTTGGTTCAAGCCACTCTGTTCTGCTCTGTGAATGCGAGGTTTCCAAATAATTCCATGTGATCTGTGAGGATTCCCGATGCACTGGCACCCGCAGAGTCAGAGTGTGTACCAAACACCAGTGTCCACCGCAGAGCATGAAAAGCCTTTTTCATCTTCCCTGTTTTGTTAGTACTTTTCGTTATTGTTCCCTATGATGAATGTACCAATGATCTTCAAAAATTTGGCAGGAAAATGCACATCATTCTTTAATCCATTTTCCACTAACTTTTTCAAGTCTCCTCATACATGTGTCATGACTAAAGAGAATATGTTTCCACCACCACCAAAAAAAAAAATCATTATTAAGAAACCATACTGGAGAGATTAGACAAAGATTCAGGGTAAGTGTTTTGACATTGTCATGAATCATGCTTTTAATAGAACAAAGTTTTAGTAGAGAGTCTTTAAGATATCAGACAGCAAAAAATCTATGCCATATTAAAAGCCATTAATCTTGTAAGAATGTTCTATAATAGTAATTTAATAGCTAATGAGCCCCAAATTATCACATCATTTCAGGGAAGTAAGATATAGCAGCACAGTACTACACTGCTCTCCATCTACTTGATACAGTTTTTAAGAAAACATAAAATATTCAAATCATTAATGCCTCTGTGTTCCACACAGCAAACAACAGCAAAATAACAGAGTATTCCCTAAAACGTAAAGCTGGGGCCGGCAGGAGTGGTGGTACAGTTGGTTAAACTACCACATCCACATCAGAATCCAATTCTAATTCTGATCCAGCTCTTTGCTGATGCCCCTGGGAGGCAGGAAATAAAGCTCAAATATTTGAGTTCTTTGCACCTGCACAGTAGGCGTGGCTACAGCTTTGGCATACCCCAGCTGCTCTGTTACTGCCATTTGGAAAGTGAACCAGTGAAGGAAAATTCTGTCCCTCTTCTCCATCCAGAACTGAACAAAAACAAGCAGGTTTTTAGAAGCTTAATTTTCTGGCATAAAACATGATCTTTTTCTGTGTAACCAGATCATCACTTAGATCCCTGGTATCGGGGCTTTTGGTCTTCTAGTAATGCTCAATTTTAGTAACAGTATGTTTGTTTCATAAATGATACAATGTAAACTTTGACATTTTATATAATGGAGGGGAAAAAAAGCTGTAGGGGAAGTTCTTTCATCGTGAGTCTGGAAGGAGAGTTGAATCCAGTTGTAACTACTTAATAATAAAATTTAAAAGGTAAGTCGTACATCTAACTGTATTCAAAATACTTATTTGTAAACTACTTTTCCAATCCATGTTTACTAAGTTCTTTCTAAACAGCGTCCTGCGCGTAACATATTGAGGAAATAAGACTAAAATCAGAAGGAATCCTAAGCTTCAACTTGCAGTAGCTGAGAGAAAACAACTAAAGTTGTTATTATTTTTGTTGTTATTTTGTTTAAATGGGAGAAAAGGAAAGTTTTCAAATGATGGGAAAAAGACATGTCAGAAAGAAGTTAAGGAAAAGAAAAGTAGACAAAAACAGAAAAAACAATCATCCTTGAAGATGGATGCATTACAACTACTTTTTAGCTTCTTAAAAAATGTTACATATTTTCAAATATGTGTGAATAAAGTGAATTTCATTTTTCTTTTATAGATGGTTATGTCCTCCGGAGTTACCTGATTGACAAGTAAGCCCATTTCCTTCTACTATTATACTTGTAAAAAAAATTGTGCTTCTCATTTTTATTAAAGAAAAAAAGTGTATGTGTTTGGAAGGCAGAGCATCAGAGAGACGGAAAATAGACCTTTCTATCTGCTGATTCACTCCCCATGTACCTGCAATCACCAGGTTGGTCTAGGTGCAAGCCAGGACTCGTATCTGGGCAGCAGGGACTCAATAACCTGAGTCATTATCTCCCTAGGTGCTCATTAACAGGAAGCTGGATCAGAAGTATAGATTCCTAATATCACTAAGTAGTATGATCTACTAAACTATTATAAATAAATATAAAAATAACATGTGGGCTGTGTGCTTGGCACAGTATTGCCACTTAGGATGCCTGGGTCCATGTCAGAACACTTATGTTGTGTCCAAACTCTGTTTCTGATTCCACTTCTGTAAATGTGCACCCTAAGGAGCAGCAAATGATGGTTCAAGCCCTTGAGCCCCCATCAGCTGTATGAGAGACAGACCAGGTCCCAGGCTCCTGCCTGTAGCCTGCCCAGCCCCAGCTGCTGCGGGCATTGGAGGAGTGTGAGACAATGAGTTTCTTCGCCTCTCCCCATCTTTCAATACATTAACATTTTTAGATTAAAGTAAAAAGCATTCTATACTGATGCCAATATTAGAATCCATAATAAAGACTTTCCTCAAGTGCACATCTCTTAAACAGCTATAAGTCCTTCCAGCTCATGACTATACAATTCAGAGTTTTCGATATTCATTGAACTCCAGCAAACACCCAAGACAGGATAAAGGTCCTAACTTTTCATGCATTAATATTCTGTATTTCACTTGGTGATTAACGCATTTGGTTTAGCTGTGTTAATTAAAAGCCAATTCATGTCTACACAGTAGGTGCTAATGTCATCTATTTTCTATCATCTATCATCTATTATCTATTCATACCATGTAAGCTTCTAGCTTAGGTCCTTGTTGAGGATTTTTCATTAGGATGAGGCATAGTAGAGTATTATATTGCCTTTTTTGGATGCATACCAGGAAGAAAGATTGTACTCAATGATTTCTCTATTCTTATGAATAAGACGTTGTCACACTGTATCGCAGTCTGGTACCAGTATACCATTGGAGTCCCCCTAAACACTGCAAGATTCTGTCCCAAGTTCTGTCCTGTTCCAGGGTAGAAAAAAGAGTTCCATTATTGAAGTAGGCCATGTGCTAAAACAAACATTTATGGAATTCAGTATAATAAAAAATCAAGGAAGAGTCACAAAGTGCTCATTTTTAAACAATGTGACATCATCAATCAGAAAGAGGGAACACAGCGAAGGACATTGACAGCCAACAAGCAGGAAGTGAAAAGAAGAAATTATCATAATACCTTTGTTTTCAAAGCAATGATTAGAGCAATAATTATGGTGGCAAGACATGTGACTTTTTCAATGGTTTTCATCCATGAAAGGTGCAAAACTGATGAAAATGAATAGGACAGTAATCTTCATCAGGCGATCTTCTTAAATCTTTAAGAGTAAATTAAGAAAGTATACTCTGTCATTATCCTTTCACCACACACAATGCTTGCAGTGAATACTTAATAAATGTTTATTGACTGAATGACAGGGAAATCTGTCCTCTTTGCGTTTGCATCAGAGTTCTATTAGCCAAGCCCTCCCTCCATCTCAGAGCAGACACAGGGAGCTCACAACATCTACCACAGCTGGCAGAACTTTGCCAGGCCTGCTGCTGCCCACACAACAAGGCACAGAGAGAAGCCCGGACCCCAGAGAGACTGTGTCTGAGTGACAAGGCCACTTTACTCTCTGAACTTTATAACTGCCGCCTGCATTTCAAGACTATGTTCATATTTGTAACATTTTTTAAAATTTATTACTTATCTATCACTCACTCACTCTCCCTTTAGAATATAAACTGCTTAAAATCAAAGTGTGTGTCTTATTCATGTATGTGTCTCCTGGGAGACCAGAGGGACTCAAATGCTTATTGAGAAAAGTATTTCACAAAGATTCAGGACCAGACAACACCTAATATGTGTAAAAGTAGCCAAAATCACTATTATGGATGCTTATCTTTATATAATCACAGTGTTTACAGTTGCATATAAATCTCCACAACAACTCTATGATGGCTAATTACTCTATAAATAGTGTGTATGTCCTTGATGATGAATATTTATAAATCATAATTAGAAAATATAAAAAGTATGCAGCCATTTCTTGTGCATGCCAACTATTATTGTAATTCATTTCACATTTGGAATTCAAGCGAAAGTATGAATAAGTGATGTTAATAGATACAAAAATTCTTCACAATTGTGGATACGGACCCTCAATGGAATGTTGTGCATGGTTGTCTGTTCAGTTCAACGAGCATTTCTTGGAGAGCACAGCTGTGGACTAGACCACAGTAGGGTTCAAAGCTGAGCAAGGCACAGTGTGTTCTCTTGAAGCATGTTTTAGTCATTCTGTTCGCAGAGCACAACATAAGACTTAGGTCAATGAAAAAAGAAAGACGCACATGAAATTTCTTTCCACTTGCAAGCATAGAACATGTAACTTCTTACCCTTACAAACCTCTAATTGTATTATATAAAATTGTATTCTTGCTCTGCATGTTGTTCTCAAGGGAATCAGACATCTTTCTCTCAAAAGCATTCTTTTCTACTTTCACAGTGACGGAGAGATTTATGACGATATTGCTGACGGTAAGTCTTTGATGGCACTCACGGTATGGAACAGCTACTGTATACTGACTCTATACAAATCACAAAGCTAGCTTGTTAGATTAATTCAATCCTTCCAATATGATCAGGATCTGAATTGCTTAAAAATGTTAAGGAAGGTAAATGCCCTGGTAAGATGGGGAGAAAAACATCCTTTATTCACATAAGCCTGGGCAGGGAGGGGGGAATACTTTGGAAAGAGAAGTTAAAAATGTTGGTGAATTTCCCATTAGACTATGAGTCTTCATACAATTTCTTTCATCAAAATGCATAGGCATAGTGGTCAGTAAATAGTAAGAATTCTAGTGGAAGTATCATCTATGTTTAAACTTTTACCTCAGAAGTTATTCTCAAGTCAGGTGAAGGTCAGTGTAGATCCTGTTGTTCGTCTTGTGAAACATGCAGTTCTGATTCATGCAGGATACTCTTAACTTCAAAATGAATACCAAAGATTTCCATTAAAGCAATCCTGAAAGGGCAAGAGTGGGTCTCATGTTGGTAGAAAAAAAAAATCTGTCCAGAAATGTGATTAAAATTGTATGTTGAGTGAGATTAAACATTCACGCTTTCATTTAACTAGTTTTCTGTTTGTTTTTTTCTTTTTTTCTTCTTCCTTTTCGTAGAAGTCGGCATTTTTTTTCACTTGACTTCCCAAGCTTGGAACACCTAGACAGTATGTGTTCTACAACAATATTTACATTTGTGTTTTCTTTCTTCAGGTTGCATCTATGACAATGAGTAGTCGCAGCTTCCGTCTGCCTGTTGCTTTCCTTAGTTGCCAAGATGAAGGTCAAGTCTTCATAGGGTATAATAGAAAATGGAGTCACCAAATTACTTATTACCATTTCTTGTGAATTTCTGGTTATCCTTAGAAAGTTTTGAAATTTTTTATCTTAGAAAATGATCTTTCTGCCTAGTATCTCAAAAGACAGCATTAGTGACGTGTAAAAATTATAAAATATACCATGTCTGCTTTGGCCACAATACGAAGACATTACTTTTAGGCTACCAATGGACAGTGCCCCTCCTCTGCTCCAAAAAAAAAAAGAAAGAAAGAAAAAAAATCATTACAGAAAAAAATGACTATATTGTCTATAAAATCCTTAGGAAGAAAAACAAAGACTACAAAGAAGAAAACTTTAAAACTTAACCACAAGAAGGAAGACTACTGTTTATACTTTTAATTATGATTACATATTGTATTTTCTGCGCAAACCACCTATCTTTATAAAAGGAAGAGCTTTAAATATTTTTTGAAAATTATAGTAGCAGTAGTGAAATTTTTTATGCAAAGTGTATTTGTATTTGGCAATTGTGAATATGTGATAACCATCTGAATATTATGCATTCAGTATGTACATCTAACAGCAAGCTATAGAAGAATTTAAAATAAATATTCTTTTGGTACATTCACTAATTGTTAACAGTTTAATTCCATACTCTGTTTAGAGAACAATGGTAACTAGCATAGTTATAAATGAAAACTGCCCTGAAATTATGAAGAACGAAAGAATGGACCTTGAAACTAACTAATCTTTTATGACACCTCTGTCATATTAAAATTCTTTTGAAGATCTTTTTCCAGTGACCTCTACAGGATTTTTTCTACCTACACTTTTAAGAAAGGTAGTGTCTGGACTAGAGTGCTTTCTGCTTATGCATACTCATCTGCAAAGCGATCCCTGTCACCGTAAATGTGAAGCATTTGGGTTTCAAATATGAAGAACACTAAATGCCACAATACAAAATGGAAATCCCCAGCACCCAATAAACTAACATGTTAACAAACTTTTTTCTGGGTCTGGCACGGTGGTGTAACAAGCAAACCCTCTGCCTGCAGTGTCAGTATCCAGATGGGCTCAGTTAGTGTCCTGGCTGCTCCACTTCTGATCTAGCTCTCTACTTAAGACCTGGGAAATCAGCAGAGATCGGCTCAGGCCCTTGGGCCCCTGCATGCACACGGGCGACTCAGAGAAAGCTCCTGGCTCCCAACGTGAAGACTGGCTCAGCTCTGGCCATTGCAGCCATTTGAGAGGTGAACCAATGGATGAAAGATCTCTCTCTGTCTCTATAAATCTGCTGTTCAAATAAAAAATACATTTTTAAAAAATAACTCTTTTGTAACCTCTAACGTAGGAAATGAACAAATCCAAATATAGTTCTACTAATGATCCACGATTTGATAAATCATATATCCTTTCAGTGTCCTCACCTGTAAATTATGCTCCCCAATTCTCTGTTACCTGCTAGTTCAGGCTATTATAATTCTCCTACCTCAGATCCATGTTTGGAAGGTTTATGTCTAATTTTTTTTCATTTCTTGATTAAGAGTTGATGTATTACATGTTTTAGTACTTCAAGGACCTATTGGAGTTTCTACTGAACTGAAAGAATTTCAAAAAATTGTCAAGCTACTGGAGCCTTCCTAGCAATAAAATGGGACTTTTTATATTTAGGAACTCTGAAATTTGAAACTCAGCCATCAACTTCTACTGCTCACTTTCTGGGAGTCCAGGTCCCCCAGATTAGAAAATACTAACATCAAAGATTTACTTCACTCAGGAAGTAAATCTTTCTACTTCATGATTGGATTAGCTAGCATGTGTCTTCCTAAATTCTCCCACCCTACAGATTCCTCCTGTGGGCTTGCTAAGCATCAAAACCTTTCCCACCGGAAACCATGCCTTAAACCCAAAACACCTCTCCAAATACAAATCATTTCCCTCTTCCTTTTCTCACACTGTTTTCTTAAAGAGGTAGGGTTCCAGAAGACAAATGCATGTGGGAATGGATCTCAAAGACCTCCAAGGTTGAAGAATGGAACTGACTGAAGGACCAGCTGCTGTGCTCTGAAACCCAGCATCATGTTTGTGCCAGGATTCCCCCACACTGCTCAATCCAGTGTAGTGCACACTAAGATAGACTGTTCCAGAAAGATACCACAAGTCCTGGTGTTTCCAAGTTAGCGAATACAAACTAGAGTATAAGTCCCCAGTGAGCTGGGGAGTTTGTGAAGCTGCCTATCTTTCTCTTAAGTCAATTTTGAATCAGAACCTCTGGGGGAGGACACTTACAGATTCATTTTTAGAGATCTATAAATGCAAGATGGGGGCTCAGCTAGGTTTGGTTAATATCTCACCCCTGCTCATCCTTTGCCATGTTCTCAAATTCTGTTCTATCTTCTTGCAGTTTGTCTCTGTTACAATTATTATGGAAGCCTCTCTGCAATATATTACAAGTACCTTTAACTCAAAAGAATTCATGCGCCTGGCATGATGGCACAGTGGCCAAAACCCTGCCTTTCATGCATTGGTATCCCTTATGGGGTTATGTCCTAGATGCTCCACTTCCCTTCCAGCTCCCTGCCTGTGGCCTGGGAAAGCAGTCAAGGACGGCCCAAAGCTTTGGGACCCTGCACCCGGGTCGGAGGGAGACCCAGAAGAAGCTCCTGGCAACTGGCTTTAGATTGGTTTACTTCCAGCTGTTGCGGCCACCTGGGGACTGACCCAGCAGATGGAAGATCTTTTTCGCTCCTTCTCTCTGTAGATCTGCTGTTCCAATAAAAATAAATCTTTGAAAAATAAAAAAAAAAAGACTTCACAATGAACTCTTCCTCTTTTCCCCTTAAACCATTAATTTGAACTGCGGATTCCACCTCTATGACATTCAGCCTCCATTTGCTCAAACTCAAAACTCAGAAGTACCTGATTCTGTTCTTCCATTCTCCACATTCAATGAAACCTCCTTAAACAGAGTACCCAGAAAACAAGGACTCGGGCTTGTTTTTAGATTTCTCTATTTTGTGTGACATTTGAAGCCCTGCATCATACAACTGAATTTAAAAAATGATGCAGCTCCTTGTTTCTTGTTTCCCACGCCATGGGAGGAGGCTATGTGACTTGATAGGTGAGAAATGCATGTTTGATGTATTAGCATGTAGGTCTTGGTGAGCTCAGAATCACTGAAACAAAACCAAGCTTGTTGGGATAGTGTCACCAGGTGAGACTTCTGGAAACAGATGTTGAAAGCTTGAAGTACCAGATGTGTACTAGCTCAGGCTCCACATCGGTGAAAGGGAAAGAAGATTCCGCAGATGAAGGGCCATGAAGGCACCAGCGCCCGTTGAATGTTTCTTTCAGACCAAACGACAAGTCTCTTCACACTGCTCCCGCCCTGGATGGGCACTCCCGGGAAGGGAAGGATGTGCCTTTGGACAAGTTGACTCTGCACCTTGAGCGGGCCTGGAGGGAACAGACACCTGGGGGCTGAAGACAACCCTGCCCCCGCAGCTACACCTGCTTCCATCCCTACACGCAGATTGAGAGGTGAATGAGACGTTGGGGTGTTGGAACACACAATTGTGACCCCTCTGTCCAAAAATCTTACCGTTATAGTGAAGAATATAAGACAAATGATAAAGAAAGGTCCTGTTATAATGGAAATTGAAAAAACTTGAGTCTATTCTAAAGCTGATGGAAAGAAACCAGTTAAAAGGGAAAATACAAGTTACAAGAAAGGAGCAGACATTGTGGCAAATTCGGTTAAATAAAGTGCCAGCCGGAGCCCAGCCCCTCTCCTTTCATCCGGGTTTCAGCAGATATGCCTTGGGGGCAGCCAACGATGGTTCACATACTTGGGTTTCTACCACTGAAAAGGAAGAGCAGGATGCAATTTCTGCTCTTGGCTTTATCCTGACCCAGTCCTGGCTTCTGTAAGTATTTGGGAAGGGGTGGACCAGCAGATGGAAGAGCCATCCCTTTCTCTCTGTTCCCATTCCTCTCTCTATCACTTCACTTTTCAAACAAAGCTTTAAAAATTTATACAATAGGGCTCAGCATGGTAGCCCAGTGGCTAAAGTCCTCGCCTTGCATGTAACAGGATCCCATATGGATACTGATTCTAGTCCTTTTGGCCCCCACTTCCCATCCAGCACCCTGCTTGTGGCCTGGGAAAGCAGCCAAGGACGACCCAAAACTTGGGACCCTGCACCCACATGGGAGACCCAGAAGAAGCTCCTGGTTCCTGGCTTCGGATGGCTCAGCTCCAGCTGTTGCAGCCACTTGGGTAGTAAATCATCAGACAGAAGATCTTTGTCTCTTCTTCTCTCTATATATCTGATTTTCCAATTTTTAAAAAAAAGGCTTTATTTTAAGAAGAAGACTTTAAAAATGTATACAGGATAAAATATAATCAAGAAATGTTTCTTAATAAAAGCTTTGGAAAGAAACAGACTTAAAAATTTTTTAAAAATTTTTCCTTAGCAACTTATTTTCTATTAATACATGTGAAATGCTAACCATTTATTCTGGACATACGAGAAGGATTCCACTGCTACCTGCTATTATTGTTATGACTAATCTTTAAATCCCTACTGATATCATCTATTTTGTGAGAATCAAGTAAAATAGGTAAGGATTTATTTTCTGCCTTCTATTTGAGATTATGTAATCTTAAGCAACATTCTCAACTTTCCTAAAACTCAATATCTTCATTGACAAAATAAGCATGTATCTACTGTATAGGCTCACTGTACAAATGAATTGAAGCATGTGCTTTAGTCCATGAGCCTTTTATGCAGAGTCTGAGGCAGGCTGACCGTCGTTATCTCCTTTCTCAGTCATTTATTATACATCCTGACCATGTCCACTCAGGGGAATCCTGTTGAGATGTACATTATTTCAATGATGCTGAACTTCCTGTGAGTCCCAGTTATTTTCCTGCTGATATTTGAAAGTAATAAAGAAACCCATACTAATAAATACAACCAAAACCATAAAATAATTTATAACAATAGCATATATAAACTAGTTAGGTCCATTCCTATGTCTGAGTTTTAGGTTACAAGGGGTCCATCTTTTTTTATTTTTTTATTTGTGTCTGATATTCTTTACAACTTCATTACAGGTAGAAAGTTCTGGTTTTCATAATACAGGCATCTGTTTTCTAATTCAGTGACAGTTTTCATTCTGCTTCTTTGTGGAAAACAATAAGCTATAGTATGTGCCTTCTACGAAAGCGATGTGGGGCTCAGGTGCAGTCTTCAGCTTTATCTGCAAAGTTGGCAAAGTAATAGATGGTCAACAAGTACTTCTCATCCTTGAGGGGTTCATTTACATTTAGCAATTCCTCTATAGCTTCCTACTGCTTGTTCACTTTCCAAAGTTTTCCAACTGTCAGAAATATGTTTATGGGGATAGCATTATGGCATAGTGGATTAAGCCGCCAGCTTTCAACTGGCATCCCATGTTAGTGTGCTGGTTTGAGTCACAGCTGCTCTACTCCCAATCATGCTCCCTAGTAACCCACCAGGGAAAACAGCAGAGGGTGGCCTAAGCATCAGGGCCACTGCCACCCATGCGGGAGAGCCAGATGGAGTTTCAGGTTCATGGCTTTGAGTTGGCCCATTCATGGCATTGTGACCATATAGGAAGTAACTCAGTGGCTGAGAGATCGCTCACTGTCTCTTTCTCAGTAACTGGCTTCCAAACAAATAAAATATATGCTGTTCTGGTTATTTCAATGTGTTTTCTCTGGGTTTTTATTTTTTTCTCACATAAGTCAGGCTTTCCTAATTTTCTTTAATTTATCTTGGTATATACTAGACATCATAGATAATTATTCTAGAATTGGATACTGTCTTTTTTTAAATGAGTTTAGCTTCCCGTATTTGTTGGTTTTAGGGTTTGTTAAGTATGCTTGCGGGAGCTCCTAGTGCAGGACCAGTGATCCTTTGCCCCCGTTTACAGCCCTTTTGATGCCTCAATGATAACCCTTAAAGTATGACCTTCTCAA